AACGTAAGTAAGGGGCAGAAGGGGAGAACACATTTATTATGAAAGAACGTGGCTGCAGAAATTACCGCTGAACAACAGGGAGTGTTCTGATTTTTACTAGAAATGTTCTACTACAGAAGCCATAGAGTTAATTGTGTTATCTTCAACCCATTTATTTCCATAACACGCTCTCGCCATACATGCATTTATCAACCTATGTTGACTCAGAGTTACATCTGAATGAGTTCAACGTCGAAACACAAAAAATGATCACAACTCGATTAGATATACTATTTTTGTAACAAGGTCACACTTCAAAATCAAACTCTGCGTCAGTGTAGCCGAGTGTCCTTGAGGTCTTTGTGTCTTTTTATCAATGCAGAAAAACAAAGTCCTAGAATGTAAGAAAAGGTATTTAAAAGACATATTGCAGTGCAACAAATGTTGACACTCAAATAAGTCAAATCATTGCTTGATATATATTTATGCCAACAAACAAAACCTTACATATCTCATTCATTGTAGCATAAATGTACTGCCGGTGTGGATGGAGTTGTACATTGGCAAATGAAAAAGATTAAAAAGCTGCTTTTTTGATGAAAAATAGCTTTTAGCAAAATATATATCGCACATTCACGATGTAAAATATAGAATTAAAACATATATGACCACTAGTTCTATTTGTTTACATAATACAGCTCCACTGTGCCATCATCTGAATGGAAACGTATCTTTTATTGCTGCTGTTGTTGTTGCTGTTGTTGTTGTTGTTGTTGTTGTTGTTGTTGTTGTTGTTGTTGTTGTGTTTATTCTTAATGGTTTGACCCCGAAGAGTTTTCAAAATACAAATAACAAAAAGTCAAACATGAGAGTTTGTCCATTCCTGGGGTGAGTTAAAGTCTCTCTTATCAACAGCAGGTGACAGCAAGTTTTCAAAATGTTCTTAAGCTTTATTCCATCCATTATCTATACACCGCTTAATCCTCTCTAGGGTTGTGGGGGGCTGGAGTCTATCCCAGCTGACTTAGGACAAAGGCAAGGGACACCCCGGACAGGTCACCAGTCTATCACAGGGCTACACTTAGAGACAGACAACCAAGCACACTCACATTCACACCTACAGTCAATTTAGAATCACCAATTAACCTCAACATGTTTTTGAACTGTGTGGGAGGAAGCCGGAGAATCCAGAGAGAACCCACGCTGCACGGGGAGAACATGCAAACTCCATGCAGAAAGATCCCAGTGCCCCCACCAGGACGCAAACCTGTGAGGCAACAGTGCTACCAACTTCGTCACCTTGCATCCCAAGATTCTTCCTATTAATTTCTGTCCGGTATTTTTTTCAACACTACAACTCATCATATGTTTCTATATCTGAAAGTGGAAGCGTTATTCAAAGGCACATAACTTTCTTTCTACCAATCTGGATAATTCCAGCTACATGAAGTCCAAATACAAGGCCAGAAAAACTGCTCTGGTTTGAGAAGTACAGTCTCAACAGGTAAACAGTTGCTTTTACCGCCCATGAATCTGCTCTAATTAGAATAAAATAAAACCTTCCCACTGTTCCTATAAACTTTCACACTCCTAATTTGCTGAGGCACCTATTCAGAGTGGCACACAGTGAGTGATGAGTCAATACACATCATGCACAAATGTTCTTTTATCTGCACAAGTTGTATTATCTGTAATTAATTTAAACATTGCTGCTGTCAAATTTACCACAATATGCAGATGATTTGGTTTAAAGGATGAAATGTTTCTTGTGGAAGATGAATGTGAGTCTCTTCTCAGCTGCAGTTACCTTTATTTGTCAATAGATGGCATTACATCCCTTAAAACACAGAAGACTCATCAAGTTCCCTTTGAGTTTCTGCTGTTTCCCCAAGATGGAAAAACTTTTGCAAATAGAAGAATCGGATCAAGGTTTACTTTATGAGACTAATTTATTCGTGCAGAGACTAGGTGGAGGCACAAAGTCATCACCTCAAAGCCACTGGGAGCGTTTCAAATGAGTCTAAGACTAATTGCCAATATGCCTGACTGGTGACCTGAAAAGCTCTGTTGGCTTTTATACATTTAAGATTGTTAGACTGTCTCCATTGACATTCCTCATTAGACTTTTCAGGTTTTTCACATAACAAGGAGACACAAAACTGCGTGCACGTCAGCAGCTGTCCTTGAGTAGGTGGCGAGGCGACTTTTCTTTTGAGCCGTGCCTCTTTGAACGTATAATTGAACGTCTATAGTTAAGAAGTTTGTGCAATTTTCTTAAGGACAACGCATCTCAGCAGGAAGCACCTGTTTGCAGGCCAGTTTGCTTTAATCACACAGTAACAATATTTAACTTTATCTCTAAAATTTAAATATTTACATTGTTAATGATTGTTGATTGTTGATGAACAATGTTTAGGCCAGCATCACAACACTTATTGCACAAAAATGTCTGTAATTCAGTGTGATGAGTTTTAACCCACATACATCAAAGACATAATCGTCTTTATGTCTGACAGTAAATGATTTGTGAAAACCTGTATTATCTTTATCTTATGTTTTTGAGCATTTTAAACATATCAAAGATATAGTAAAAATGTGTACATACCTGCCACGCAAAATTATACCAATAAACTTCCATTAAATAAGGATTTTAATGGTAAAAATTTTCTGTATCAAATATAAGTATTTGTATACATTCATGGAATAATCTAGATTAGATTAGATTAGATTAGATTAGATTTTCTTTTTAGATTTTATCAGGTACAGTACAGTACAGTACAGGTATGAAATGAAATGAAAAATACTTTATTTATCCCAGAAGGGAAATTCAATATAGGTATATATATATATATATATATACATACACACATAGGGAGAGAGAGACTTTCATAACAACAGCATTGCAGAAAGCAAAGCGTTTGCCAGGAGGTGCAGTAATTAAATTAAATACAAAATACAGGATGTAGCAGTTTAAATACTTAGCCCATTGCATCAGCCTGATTGCATCACCTCTAAAAAATAGAGACGTTATCCATTTATTGTTTCATTAATCCCATTACAGCCCTCCTGTGTGCAGGTTCACCTGAGGAGCACAGATGGTGACCACCAGAGGGCAACACAACAATAATCGTCAGTATTTTTTTTTAAATGAACGATGAAAGATTGACAGGTTCAGTAAACCAATGCCTTGCTGCAGAATACATTGACTGTCCAATAAGATCATCGGAGGCAGATACAATCGAAAATGCGCTGAATCTGTCTGTGCGGTTAATTTAGCTCTGATGTGACCTTGTGTGCGACGAATATCACCGTCTCTGTCGATTAAACGTGAGTCCCTAACGCAGTAAATTTCAGAGCTAACATTGTTTGGTAAAAGCTTGAAACGCATTGTTGAGTTTTCTCCGAGTATTTGTGTTGTGTCTAGTTTGTCGAGGTCTTCGGCTCTGCTGTCTAATCTCTTCCAGCACATGCTACGTTTAGCTAGCTAGTAGCTGTAGCTAGCATTTGGGCTAACTGTCGGACTGTGCTAACACAAGAGCCGGGAGGAAAATAATTGGTTAAATAAAATATTTATTGGTTGTTTATTTGAAGTGTCGGATAGCTAAGAACTGTTAACTAACAGGAATTAGATTTCTGTCTAGGGTTTAAAGCCAGGACAGGTTGGTTAAATAAGGCGCCGTTATGTCTGCTAATTAAAGTGACTGACCGCGAGACTAAAGACACGACTTACTGACATAGCTAGCTTATATGCTATGCGCTCCCGTCGACACTTCATTTGCATTTTATTTCGTAGCAGCTAAAACAAGTCCGTGCATATTAATAAGCCTGTGTAACCAGTTAAACATGTTAGTCAGTGTGTTTTCGGATGATGATTTACCCACTTGTAATTGAAAATGAGTCAATGAACTGCAACCTCTGAGCTAATGGTTCAGTCGAGAGCTAAATGATATATCAGTTTTGTCAGATATTCAGGTATGTGTCATAATTTTAGTGGGAATGGATTTTATTTATTTATTATTTGCATTTCTTTTCCACTGAAATTAAATATGAAAATTATGAACAAGTACAGGCATGTTTCCTGAAATCACAGAGCTGCACCATGAAACTAGTTTTAATATATCCTGGCTTTATTTATATTGTCTGGCTCCACCAAGCCTAAACCCCGGTCAGTCAGCCACTGCAGTGGTTGTCAACCTTGGTTGTTAACTAGATTGTCTTAATCGGACATTGTGCATGTTATCAAAAAGGGTGGTGTCGGCATCAACTAAAGGAGGCCACGAGAGACGGAAAAGTATCGATACCACGGGAGCTGAATATCGCTGCTCAATACCATCTTTAGTATGGATTGATTAAAAAACCACAAGTCTATCCTCTGGACTCTGACTTGTGCCCTGCTCCAGGAAAGATACTTTTGTTTTAAAATCCATGTAGTAGGTGAGTGGGTGGTGGGTTTATAAAATAGAATAGACCAGTAAACTGCAATCGCCAGATGTGCGAAAACTCCCTCGGCAGGTAAAACAGCCTAAAACCAACCGCCAGCAGTGCAACATCCTTCCTGCTCTTTAACGCTAATGTGTCATCATTACACCATCTCTCATTCACATACATGGCGAGTCCCCCACCTTTCTTCTTACCACTCTCCCTAAAACTCCAGTCTGCTCTGACGAGGTGAAATCCGTCCAAAGTTATAAGCGAGTCCAGAGTGAGTTCGTTCAGCCATGACTCCATAAACGACATAAGGCTGCACTCCCGATACTCCCACTGCAGCCAGGCCAGTGCTGTTAGCTCTTCCATCCCATTAGGGAGAGACCTCACATTTCCCATGATGATGGACGGGACGGACAGCTTGTAGCATCTCCTACAATATATATATATAGCCCATCCATGTTAATAGAATACAGCAGCAGTCATGCATTGTTTTCTTTAGTGGTGTAAATTAAAACGTGCTACTAACTTTGTTATTTTGCTTTTCACCTACAGCTAAACCATTGCTGTATCAACTGGTAATATCAAAAGTTTGAATGGATCCAAACAAGCCTCCTGGCCTTGGTGACATGACCGGCGTCCATTGGCTGGGACGCGGAAGAGGACTGCAGCCTGAGGAAGTGGCTGTAGGACGCAGTAGAGGGCTGCTGCTCTCAACAGAAGGGCCCAATGTAGGACGAGCCAGAGGTTTCCCCACTCCTGGCGATAACCCACAAGGACAAGGAGCCCTTCAACCTATTGCTGAACCTGTGATTGGACGAGCTAGAGGGCTACTGGCACAGCCTGATGATTTAGGAGTTGGCCGAGCCAGGGGGCTGCTCTTTTCAGTAGCTGAACCAAAAGTCGGGGTTGCAAAAGGGCAAATTATGCCTGGATTGGAGCCACCAGCCATACCAGACCCAACAGGAGACACCCCAACTTTGATAACAGAAAAGGTGTTAACAAGATATGGGTCTATATGCATATACCATTTCCATGTTTCTAAATATTATTGCCTTACATTAAACACTGCTTTTGTATTGTTACAGGGTGACATGCCCACCCATGGCCAAGGATCATCCCTGGTCTCAATGTTTAGAGGAATGGGCATTGAGCCATCCATGACTTCGTGGGGAAGAGGAATTTTGCCAGTGGGTCTGTATTTCTTTTATACAAGTTATCCTGGGAAATTAAGAAAAGTAACCCTTATATTTTTGGTGTCTCTGGTACAACAGTTCCTTTAGTTCAAAAAGCCCTAGAAAATGTTACGAGAAAACCACATTCTCAAAATGTACAGGACATGGACCTCTTAGAGGGGAGATTTTTTTTTTAAGGAGCCTCCATCAAACCTCAGCATAACACAAATGTAACATAAACACTGTTAAAGAAATAACTTTAGCTGTTCAACCTTCCCCTTTTTTTTATAAAACATTGCATTGTTGATCTTTGGCTTTGTGGATTTTCTTGTACGCTCTAGGTGTTTCGTTGTTAGATGGCACTTTAACCTGGCTTGCTTCTTAGCTGTGTTTGCTCGCAACCGAAGAGAAATCACAAGTTGTAGTTTCCGATTTGAGTGCTCAGTAAAGTGAAATTCAGTGTAGCTATCGTCATACGTCATCAATTTGACTGATTTAGGCTTTGTTTTAGTTGCCAGTAACAAATGTAGATTTAAGAATTTTCCCATAGCTAGCCAGCGAACGGTTTGCTGAGCAGCTGGCATTGAGAAGAGATTTGTCATTACATATAAACATTTCTACTCAAAGCCAGCTTGAGTTAGTAAGTGCCAGGGTAGTGCATTTGTTTCATTAAACAAAGTAAGGTGGTGGCATTTATGTGTAGACATCCCAGGTCTAAACGGCTTTTGCAAACCTCGATGGGTAGAAATGTGTCTACCCATTCTACTTAACTGCTGAAGCAGATGTGGTTAGTGTTAGTGCATGTGCAGAACTATGAGAATTACATTGTTAAATGTTGTTGCAGGTAGAGGAGCAGCTGGAGATGTGGCAGAGATGAAACTGCAAGGGGCCCCACAAGGTGTCATCAGCAGCCTGGAGAGTGTCAGCCACTCTGGAGACATGATGGGCAGAGGCAGCAGGTAGGCAGCGATAGTGACAAGTGTGTGATAAGATCAAGATTTTCACTAATGAGGTATCGCAGATGTTCTTTTTCGGAATTTATAAAGACAATGGAAGACTGTAGTATGATACCAACAAGCACCTCTTTTTGGACAACGCTTGAAGACACTTGGCACAAAAAGTCAACCTTATAGCTTCATGAAATCATGATTTATTGCAGGACTATTAAGTTAAGGCCAATTCATGCTTTCTGCATCAATTTCAATCTTGCAGCTGTCAGCAACTTGGACTGGAAGTGTGCAATGTTCTAGCTTCCAGTCTGTTTTCTTCAGGTTTACACACAATGCATGCATTCTATGCTGGATTGTGAGAAACTGATGTACCTTTGCTTATAGCTTTTGCAAAAAGCTTAGTTCAATTTTTTTAAGTGAATGCGTGTGAGATTTCACTGTATTAATGTATAGCTGTACAGTGTTGTGTTTCCAGTAAGAAAGAAGATTCAAAACTTTAACTTTCATGGTGTTGCAGGTTTGTTGTTGATCACAGAAATATTACAATGAATTGACATGTTCAGTCTTTAGAGGTCTACAGCTTGTACAAATACTGTGTAAAGACATTCATCACTGTTAAAATGACAATAGTCATCAATAGAATAATTAATCTAGGATTATTGCTACCATTATCAACAATCAAACTGACGTGCAACCGTGGCTACTGTGGCAATTGAACTCCTGCAGTTTCCATGACCGAGGTGTGTCCCCTCCTGTGATGGTGGGACTTGGCAGAGCAGCGATGCCACAGCTTGGAAGAGGACGTGCTGTGCTTCCTTCTTTTCCTCCAGGTGGTATCAAGTCTGTTGCTCCAACACCTGAGCTGCAAACAGCTCTATGTTCTTTGCCTTCCCTTACAGGTAATGAAACTTAAAAATGATGTGAAACACTGAAAAAGATCAAATGTTCGCCTCAGCTTGGTAAACCTTGGTTCACCTTTAGAAATTAATTGAAGCTAATGAGTGAACATTTGATATAATGTGCAGCTTTTCCACTTGGTCAATACAGTACATCTTAATTTTAACAAAAGCACCTTTATGAAATTCAGTCTGTAATATGTCTAATGAAATGCAAATACTGTAAAGGGACCATGCCCCCTGTGCCTGCCACTCCAGATGTCACTGATGACTCTACGGTTCCAGTGGCAAAGAAAGAACTGACAATGGAGGTGGTCCGGTGAGTATGTTTTTTTCTTTTACCTTTTAGGGTGGTGGCATACCAGTTCAGGGTCTATTAAGTTGATCCCCTTTACTTTTCAAGTGTTTTGGCACCTCTGGCTCTTTTTGTTTGGCCTTTGCGCATGAAGGCAGTCAGTGAGAGAGTTGTATCTAGCAAATCAATAGCTTAATATGCATATTATTCATCCACTTATTCCTCTTACATACCATAGAGTGACAATGTTAGTGTAAGAAAAATGTAAATGTTACATTCTCGTATATAATGGGCCGTTTTATTGATTTATAACTATAGATCCCAGAGTGCCATTTCCTGTAGCTTAGAGCATGTTGGATATTAGTAGGCCTTTGACCATGGTATTTGTGGTGTGATCAATTGTAACATTTGACAGATTTAAGGTACTTGATGAGTCAAACCTTGTTAGTGGGAGTGATTTTTTGGTCATTCAATATCAAAAATACCTATTTTTACTTATACATGTACTTAAATTGTAGAACTACAGATACAAGTTTTGAAATGTAAGTTTATCTACCCTGAAATGTGATTTTAACAAGGTGATGAAAAATTTCCATTTGTAAATGGTTTCACACACAGAGTGCATTAGGTAACTGACATGTCTTGCTAAAGCCATTTGCACAAGTTCTATTGATTCCTTTCTTTTGCTGTAGTTACGTTAAGTCCAAAGAGTTCCTTTAAAAAGTCTTCCCCCACATACCACAGTCTCCCATACATCTACTTTGACTTATTAACTTGGTGCAGGAGGATGTCTGTAAAGAGCCATCTGTGCCTTAGTTAACTGAGAAATCTGTATGTAAACAAAACAAATGGCTAAATGTTGAATACATTTTGCACCAAATCTCAGATGTATCTTGGTTGGGGTAAAAACTGTTTCCATGCAGTGTCAGCTGTTGACTTTTGAGCACAAAGATCAGCGTACTGTATCAGGGACACTGTTCATTTAAGTTGTACACAATTACAAAGCTTTTCCTGTAAGGTAATTGATTGTTCTGTGACTTGTGATAAAATGATCTGTTGTGCATGTTTATCCTCTTCTGGTCAGTGAGCCACTTAAAAAGGGTGGAACGAAGGGAGCTGCTATAACTATTGGGTCAAACCACATCCCAATCAGATGCAAAAACGAAGCTGTGTATCAGTACCACGTTACATTCACGTAAGTATCTTCTATCAGTCACTTCGTTTTCTTTCCTCAGCAGCAATTCACCAAGAAATAATTGTGAATTTAAGTGTGATGTTTAAGCCCCTTCCCCAGTTCCCATTAGTTGAGTTCCATCAGACTGTGTTCCAATGTTAAGAAATTTTACCTGTTAAACTAAAGGTGGCTCTGTTGAACCAGCTACAATCACACTGAAACACCACTCCAGGCATTTGTCGTAGCTGTGAGGGGAAAGTACTGTACGTATCCTTAATATGCGTATTTTCAATATTGTTTTTCAGCCCAAATGTCGAATCAATGTCAATGCGTTTTGGCATGATGAAGGACCACCGCTCAACCACAGGGGAAGTAGTGGCTTTTGATGGCTCCATACTCTACCTGCCTGTTAAACTTAACGACGTACGTATCACAGTTATTACTGAGTTTCTGATTGACCGAGGGCCTTTTCACACCTTACAGTTCAAAGCAAGGTTCATGTTTGAGTCTCGTTATTTACGTTGGATCCAGTTAGTTTTGTTTTTATATTGTAATAATGTGAGTGCATTAAACAACTGAACATGACTTATCTACATCCTGCTGTCATCACCTATGAGGGTTCAGTCTCCCTCTGCTTGATATTGATTGGTTTGCAGACAAATGCTACCCAGGCAGTCATAAAAAGGAAATAACTCCTCATTGGTTGACTCACCACTTCAAGTAGCATTGCGCTCTTGTCCTTTTCTTTAAATACCTGGAAAGTGTCTGCGTTTCCAGGATTTTATTCCACTTGATTTTTTATTTTTTATTTTTTTATGTCATCAGACTATTTTCTTCCTATGTGCTGCCGCAGATCATTGTTCCTTTTTACCATTTTTACGAGCCTGCCTTATCTTCCTGTACTTGGTCTAAAGGTCTGAACTGTCAAGAAATATTGTTAAGTTTGATTTTACTCTGAGCCCAGCTGTTTTCGTTAGGTCAGTGTTCAGATGTTCATTGAAGACCTTGGTCTGGGAGAGTTTTCACACCTGTTATGTTAATTCAGTTCAAACTGAAAACAAACCCTGAGATGTTGTAATTATAAGGAACCGATATTGGATTGTGTGTTTGATTCGCAAATCAACAAAATGTGTAATTTTATAATAATTGCCCAGATATTTGCATACATAAGTAGTCTTACAGTGAGAAAGGATTTACAATTTTTAGTTGATTTCAATTGTTTGTCCCAATCCTGAACTCAGCCAGCTACTATACTACAAATACAGTTTTATTGCTTTCTAATTTCATTGTGCAGAACTACACAATGCTAAATCAGTCACAATCCAAAACGTCACTACAAGATGTCCGTTTTTTTATGTGCTCACATGTTGATGACATGCAGGTGGTTGTTCTCAAGAGTTTGAGACGGACCGATAACGAGGAAATACAAATCAAAATCCAGATGACGAAGATTTTGCCGCCAAACTCTGATCTTTGCATCCCATTCTACAATGTGGTGCTCAGAAGGTATTTCTTTCAAATAATGTTTCTACACTTTTGTTTTAGATTGTACATAAATTAGAAAATTGAAACACACCAGTCTTACTATACTGATGAATAGAATTCACATCATAGATATCAAATATAATGTCAGTCATGTTCTAGTTACATTATGAGGTTAGGAATTTAAAATTGTATTTCATCCAGTCATAATGAGACAATTTTAAGTAAGTTTTGGATAGTTTTGTTATCTTTAAGGACCTTGTCTTTCATTTCAGTAAAGATAGTAAAAACTTAGTTGCTTTCTGTCAAGTTTCTAAGCTATTAGAGTTTCTAATTTCAAGTAAATGTACTATTTTTCTCCTTATATGCAATGCAAGGCCACTACATAGCCTTGAAATATAATTACATATTTGTTTCACTGCAAGTCCAACTGTTTGAGAAAATTAAACACTGCTGCCGCTATTTTCTTTGTATTCATTCAAGCCCTTTAATAAAATAAGCTAAACATGTCATCATATGTTACTAGTAAGAGAGTTAAATGACAGGATATGACCTAGTGTTCTTGTTGTTCAAGAGTGATGAGGATCATCGGACTGAAGTTGGTTGGCCGAAATCATTACGATCCAGAAAGCGCAGTGATTCTTGGAAAACATCGGTTAGTAATGAGTTGTATTTAAACATTACAAGACAGACCCCAGCCAATATCAGGGCAACCCTAATCCAATCATTTTCCTGTTTGTGTTTGTAGACTTCAGGTATGGCCGGGCTATGCAACCTGTATCAAGCGCACAGATGGAGGTCTGTACCTGTCTGTGGATGTGTCTCACAAAGTCTTGCGGAACGACTCTGTGCTGGATGTCATGTGAGTCTACGCAGCAAATTAGACAGCAACATACAAAGATGCATTGACATTTCTGGATCAAGTCTTTGTTGTTGTTGTTGTTGTTGTTTTTTAAAGATCAGTTGCAAGCATATATCTGATAGCAAAACTGTAAAACAGTTTTGTTTTTTTGGTTTTTTTTACTACTGTATTTGTTATTTGTTGAAGCATTCCATACAATTGAGAGTGCATCTTTACTTCTGTTCCCTATACATCTGACCATATGGGTACTCAGACATGCTCATGAAAGTTTAAACATTGACTTTTATATGACCGAGGCACATAGAGCTATAAAAACTACATATTCTATAACATAGTCATACATATTTAAATACCAGATTTCCAGATGTCACGCTCTCGTGTCTGTCCTCTTAGACAGAACTGTGAATCCCCTCAATCATTTTCCACTGGGAATGTGAATGATGAGTTAAGTCAAAGGGCAACAACTTGTGTGTTGCAAAGGCCAACTGCATCTCTAGATTATTTATCATCATGTCTTAGCTTTTCCCTGCTGTATTTAAGCAGAAAATGCCAAACCATGGCACAGGGTTGTGATGGTTTTAATGGAAAATGGAAAAACTGAGTTTGTGTCCTGCTGTCTGCCAGGAACATCTTGTACCAACAGAGCAAAGAGAACTTCCAAGACGAATGCACCAAAGAACTTATCGGCAGCATTGTTATCACTCGCTATAACAACCGCACCTACCGCATCGATGCCATTGAGTGGAACAAGTCCCCTAAAGACACCTTCACTTTGATGGATGGCACAAAAACCACTTTTGTGGAATACTACTGGTGAGACTGCTCCATCCACAAACTCATTAAAACTGCACAGAAAAGCAGTACAGGTGTTTTTGTGAATGTGTGTGTTGAAACATTGACAGTAGAATATTCCATTTACATCAACAATAAATTGCTCAGTTACATCTAACTGTGATCATTTTTTGTTTATGTTCTTAATGCTTATTTATTGTTGTTGCATTGCATTGGTTGTGACATTTTAACAGCAAGAACTATGGAATTACAATCAAAGAGCTGAGTCAGCCTTTACTCATGCATCGGCCAAAAGAGAGGTCCAAGCCAGGAGGCAAGGTAAAATCTTTTATCGACAATGGTCACTTTAGCATAATGCTTAAGATTTATAGTGGGGTTGTTAATAGTACAGTAGACCACTCAAACAACACACTATGCAACATATTAAGTCTTGCCTCAGAATACCCTCTAGTGGCTACAAAAAGCTTGCAGTCTGGATTGTTAGGGAGATGTGTCAGAACACGTGCAAAATTAAAGTAATTGCTTTCCAACAGCTGAGGTAGGGTTGTCTTTACAAGTGCTTCCATATTTCCCCACATGAAGCACTCCACTTTTGCTTGAATAACTTCAGTAGTATTTCTTTGCTCCATAGGAATCGTAATGATGCAAAGAGAAAATAATACCAAAAGTATTATGTCAACACTTATTCATGCAGATGATCTTATAACAATTATTTTATTTGATTTATTTCAGCAAATCATTACTGGAGAGATCCTTTTAGTGCCAGAGCTTTCCTCCATGACCGGAATCCCTGACAAAATGAGGAAGGACTTCAGAGCTATGAAGGTAAGTTTGATGTGGCTACACAATGTTCCCTCTGTCAGAACTTTAAGCTTAGGCAGAACACCTACGTACAGCCATTCTAAAGAGTGTCTTCCACATTCTTTGGACATCCAATCTCTTATGGTTAGAAAAGACCATAGGTAAAGGTTTCTAATGATGGTCACCACGCACTCATTTCAACATTCAGTTTATTAGTATAAAAGCTACAGACATATTTTTAACAGTTTTAACCAGTGACTGACAACTCAAAGGTGAATAAGCAGCGAAATGGACTTCTGTCTTTAGCTGGTCCAAAAGACTGACGGAGATGATGATGATCAAATTAAGTTTTTTAAGAGCAGATTCAGGTCTGAAAATATTTGTATGAAAACACTTGATGAAACTTGTTAACTCAGAAGATGTCTTTTTATATTTTATAGGACTTGACCATGCACATCAACGTGAGCAGTGAGCAGCACACCCACTCAATAATGCAGCTGCTGAAGAACATCAGCGCCAATCCTGAGAGTCTGAAAGAGATCAGCCGATGGGGACTGGAGATTGGCAAAGAAATACTGGTGGTAAGGAGATATGTCACTTCACAGAAACATTTCATAGTTTTCTTGCAGGGCAAGTCAGTGATGCAAAGTGCCTGTGGGCTATATTCCCCCTAAGTGGTGTGATAAATGCAGTATTTTTCCAATGTCATTTCTTTTCAGTCTGTCACTTCTGACTGAATTCAGTCTGTGTTACAATTTTGTATAGCAGTATATATTACACATGGCAATTTCTTTTGAAATGACTGTAAATCAAAGCAGTGGTTAATAATCCTTGTCATCGAGCCAGAGCCCAGTCCAGTCACTCTGGTCCTGAGGAACAGCATTCGAAAACATGAAGTTCAAGTATATTTGTAGAACATGTACATGCTGCTTGACTGTCTGGTAGCTTCACAGTGGTCAAACAGGTACATTGGAAGAGAGAACGTGGTGGTAATGTGTGTTTTTCTTTGTTCTGCTTTAAGTGTTCCCTTCTGGTGTGTCTTTTTTTTTCTTGTTTGTACACTTCATTTTGTATAATGCTTAGTATTTGTTTGTGCTTTTACAGATTCAAGGTAGAACTCTTCCCCTTGAAACCATTTGTCTGCAGTCTTCATCTTTTGCTACCGGTGCCGATTTGTCCTGGTCCAGAGAGATTGTGAGGGACGCTTCAATCAGCTCTGTAAGTGTCATGATTATGTTCATGAATATAGCAGCATATAAACTTTTTAAACTGCAAAGTTATGAAGGCTAGGAAGCAACATTGTCCACAGCTGATGTACTAATGATCTGTGTAGGTTGGAATATCAGCTCTGGTTTACAGACCACAGTTGATATCTTCCTTCAGCAAGTAGACTATGTTTGCAACCACATATGTGTTTTTGCTTCTGCTTCAGGAATGTCTGGTGTATCACTCAGTTTCTTTATTAAATGACTTGTTTAACTCTTAGATTCCTTTGAACATCTGGGCCATCTTCTACCCTCGCCGCTGTGCTGATCAAGCTGATGAGCTGGTTTCCACCTTTACCAAGGTGGCCGGGCCTATTGGGTTAAGACTGGGGCGACCCATTCGTGTGGAGCTGAGGGATGATCGGACGGAGACTTACGTCAAGAGCGTCCACTCTCAGCTCACCAGTGAGGTATAACTTCAAATTAAGTGGATATTATTAGTGTTCACACACAATGTGTATACCACACACAGCGTGTCCAAAACAAATGCTTGTTGGGTCTGCCTGTTTGCGTAAAGACAGTTTATTGCATTGCAGATTTCCAATATTAGCTTCCTGTGACAGCATTTGCTGTGGCTACACAGTAGATTCTGGAATCTAAAAACTTCAATTTCTTTTCCATTTTTCTCTCACTAACAGTGGTTGCTGCAGAAACAAGACCTCAAAATGACTGACAGTGTTTCCTGTCTGGTTGCCTAAGGCAACCTGAGTAACTGCTAACTGTCAAGCTATGAATGGTTTTGCATGTTTCAGACCATTTAGTACAAACTGTACTGACATTACTGCAGATGATTTAAAATTCAGAGTGGTGTCTCAGGCAGCTACTAGAAAACCATGTAAAATGAAAAATACAACTGAATGCACAGGATTCTATTGCAATGCTTATCTTTCTTTGTCATTACATTTGAAAGCAACAGCTGCATCCTTTTTTTTTTTTCCATCTACATATGTTGACTGTCTGGTACCACCGATCCAAGCCTAGTGATGTAAATTAGTCAATCCTGTGTAAATTTTATCTATTTGTGTGCAGCCCAATATGCAGCTTGTAGTGTGCATTATGGTCGGCAATAGAGATGACCTCTACAGTGCCATCAAGAAGCTGTGCTGTGTGAAGAGTCCCATTCCATCCCAGGTTTGTTCATGCGTTTGTGCTGCTGTTTCAGACATGCAGGGAATAAGTATGTAGTGTGGGTGTAGAAATGCTGCCTAAATTCTATATTTTGGCAATGTTTTTTTCTATAAAAAAGAAAACAGTTTGATGGTTATTTGTCATTAGGCCATCAATGTTCGGACAATTTCCCAGCCACAGAAGTTGAGGAGTGTTGCCCAGAAGATACTCCTACAGATGAACAGCAAGTTGGGCGGAGAGCTGTGGACTGTCAATGTTCCTCTGGTGAGTATAATTGACAGTGAAAATTCATTTGTTATGGACTGTCTTAACATTGACAAAAAACTAGATTTTATGTGGTTATTGGAGAGAAAAATTGATATGTGGCTGCATTATTGGAACAGCAGAAAATCAAAACAGGGAAATGATAAACCTGTCTCACTTGAATAGAAACATTTGATGGTAGTTGGAGTTGATGTCCACCATGACACCAGCAAGGGCCATCAGTCAGTCATGGGGTTTGTTGCGAGCGTAAACAGGTAAACCCTTCATTATTCCTTGTTTTGCTGTAGTCCTTGTTTGGATTTCACATTTTGTCAGCAGCTACTGTAATGATTCCTGAGTTTATAATCAACATAGAGCACGACATTGCAGCATTTGATCCTTTGACTCACTTTGTACATAATTAACTTGGTTGGTTTTAAAGGTAGTTGTGTATCATCCATTAGAACAGCCTTGCAAATTCTTATTCAAACTGCATATTCTTGCTAAAACTGTTGCTCTAACATTTGTAAAAAAAAATAAATAAATAAATAAATAAATAAAAATATGTGTTATCAGTGATGATATCTTAATAAATATGTATTTGCTGTTTGTCTTCTCCAGCTCACTGACCCGCTGGTACTCCAGAGTAACTTTCCAGGCACCCACTGAGGAACTGATCAATGGCTTCAGAGTTTGCTTACTGGCTGCACTCCAGAAGTACTATGAGGCAAATATCTACCTACATGCATTACAAAAATGTCTTCTGATTCAGTCTCTTCTGTGTACCACACCTAGAAAATATTGATGCATTCTGTGTCTGGATATTGTCAGGATAAGAAAAAACACGTTATCCCAGGTGTAAATGCACACAGAGCAATGTAATGTAAATGAAAATTACATAACTTCAGTTTGTCTGCCCACGCCTGATGTAACGCTTAAGCATGTTCCTCTGCTCAGGTGAACCACAACTTGCCAGAGAAGATTGTGGTGTACCGGGATGGTGTGTCAGATGGCCAGCTGAAGATGGTGGAGCAGTACGAAATCCCACAGTTGATCAAATGCTTTGAGACTTTTCCCAAGTATGAGCCCAAGCTGGTCTTCATTGTGGTCCAAAAGCGCATCAGCACCACTCTGTACTCCTGGGCTGGCAACAGCTTTGGCACGCCTCCTCCTGGAACTGTCCTCGATCACACCCTCACTCAAAATAACTGGTAAATGTTATTGTCAAGTTATGGTTTCTCAGAACTGCTTCTCAGGACAACAGCCACACTGGAAAAGGCAAAAGCACCAATAGATAGCTGCACACATTTCTAGAAAGTCTTGAGAGAGACATCAATGGTGCTAAATTAATTGTTCACTTGAAATGTAATACAAATAGGTGAGATGTTCAATGCCCAACTCCTCCGTCACCTCTCTGCACCTGCATATTAAGCTGTGAAGTGGCTGTAATTGGTAACGGGTTAGTTTCATAAAATAACAGTGAGACAGTCGTGGTGTTAAAAATTGGAAAAGGTGTGGATAGAAAGGTTTCTGGTGTTATCCATTCGTCCAGTGTACATTTAGGACATTATGGGATGGCAGTTTTAAAATGAAGCAATCATTATACCTGCCGTGTTTTTTCCCTTCAATTAAACTGTTAAAGGTAGAAATTGCAAGTTTTCACAATTTGTAATTGGAAAGCACATTTCATGTACTTCCAAACACAGTGTACGGATAGCTGGCACAAAACTGCTGATGGTTAAAGGTAATCAGGTTTTTTGAAAAGTAGCTATATGGAAACAGAGCGTGCCCTGTTAATGTCAGGAAGAAAGCTGCATTTCTTGACAGTGTTGTTTTCAGTCTGGATCCAGCCTTAGGCCATAGATGACCTGTTCTCTGCTTTAATTGGCTTTAAACTGGCACTTGAGTTGAAATTGTGTTAATATGAAGGTTGTTTTGAAATCCTGGTGCTCTCTAAGAAACCACACACGGTACATGGCACGTAAAAATGTTTTCTTAGACAAGGTGGAAAAGAAGGGCCTCATTTTGTTAATGAGAAGATCACAGGATAGTGGTTGACAGCAGCTGGTTTTTAGCTTTTTATTGCCTCTGTTCCTCAAAAATCCTGCAGCTCCATTTCCTAGTAAGAGTAGTAAATATGTAGACTTTGATTAGACAACCATCAAAGATGCTGTCTATTTGCTGTTGGCTGTTTAAAAAATTTCAGACTAAAGATATTTATTTTTTCCATTCATATTCAGGGTGGACTTCTTTCTGATGGCACATCACATTCGCCAGGGCTGTGGACTTCCTACACACTACATCTCTTTGTACAACACAGCAAACCTTACACCAGACCATCTGCAAAGGTATCAATAACCAATTTTCTCTTCCTCTAAGAGTCACTCTGACTCAAATAATTATTTTTTCTGGTAATTATAAGATAAAAAGTCATAATTGCAAGGTAAGGTCTCCAAAACCTGCTAGTGCTGCTGCACATTTCTAACACGCTGATGTGGTTAATACTGCTTGAAGCAGGTCACCCTGTATATGGAAGGTATTGTGCATTTTAGGACCAAAAGCATGAAACATTCTCCTGGTTTTCGAAAGACCATGAAGTTTATTTTCAGACACGGAGGCGTTTTCAGATTTGACCTCTGGGACTAGGCAGAGGACAAACAAATTTCAGGATGTCAATTTTTAAAAAATGGTTTCACTTTCTCACAGGGCTAAAACCAGTATACAGCAATTTTGCTTTGTTTTAGCACTCTGCAAAACTGACATTGACTCAGTTTATTGAAGTGAAACAAAAACAAATGGGGGAAAACCCTCCACACATACGTACACTCAAACAGCAAAGAAGCACAGTTAAGCACTCGGGTCAATACTTCAATAAATCCCTTGACAGAGTTTTTATCTTTTTTTTGCATAGCAGAATTTTTGGTTCCCCTTATTGAGGTTTTAACCAGCGCTGAAGTAAAATCACTGGCACTAAAATGCGAAAAAATTTAGAAAAAACAATATTGAATACGTTTTGTTAATAGAGGTTTCATTACTTAAACATAATAGATATTTGTGTTTTCAAATGATTACAGATAACTGGAAAGAGTATATATTTCTGTCAAAGTGACGTAGATTTGCTTTTCTACATGCTGACTGATCATACTTACTGTCGTGCACAGTCACCCCCAAATGCCCTTTTTGAACCCAGTAAGTCTGACAATTGGATACCTTTGTACTGAACTGTCAAGGCAGCCATTTCAATATGGAGCTCACTGAACATGTAGTTCTCTCTGTGGCTGTCTTGCCACGTCCGCTGCATCTCCTAGGCCAGTCACAGAGATGTTTGTATGTGGCAGGAAGAGCCACCTGCCCAGGGTTCAGGTGATAAACTGCTGCTCTTTTGATATTCCTTAAATGTCTTACAGTGGCTGCACACTCTGCAGCCACTGTAAGACAACCAAAATAGTCACATAGGCAAACTTTATAGGAGTGTGCAAGTTAAAATTGGTCACATTCACGCAAGTCAATGATGATCATTGAGCTGTTTTGGTGTCGCTCTAACAGCGCAGGCAGCTACTGCGTGAGTTATAGTGGTGAAAGGCAGTACTTTTATTTCTTCCCAGGCCTTGTCATTCTGTCCCTGCCGGATGCACAAAACAAGCCATTTTGTTTTTGTGCATTCCTCAGACAAAACTGACAAAAAAAGGAGGCTGAGAGTTTGAGGTCCGACTCAGACACACCTGATGATCAGAGTTTAGGTGCAGGCAGGAAGATACCAACTGAAGTGCTGAAGAAAATAATGCAATACAATTAATTACGATGGCTAGGGCAGAGTAGGGCTGCAAAATCAAATAATTATTAGTCACAATAATGACTTTAGTTTCTAACCACTGTATGAAATCAATCAACTGCGGTTTTTACATTTAGAAAATGCACTCCACTTCTAAAAGATATAGCTGTTTTCTCCGCTCATAAAAAAACAGCGCATGTGGATAGAGTCGGTTTCATCTTGGATAAATCTGACAGTAGAACTCCCTAGTTCACTCTTGTCCAAGTAATTTTTGCTCACACACCTGTCTGACAGCACTGCCGGCACCTGCAGCATCGACTGCACCCTACAGTGTGAGGCCTTTTAGGGAACATCAGTAAATGTAGCGTCTACCAATAAGCCAGTGTTCAGCTAGTGAACAAGTTCTTCTGGAGACCTGGTGTGTGTCATCTAGTAATAAAGGCAACAAAGTTCCAGACTATGACCATCATGGTCACTTATGCAATTGTTTTTTTAGAAGTGTGTGAATTAAAATTTCAATAGGTCACATTCATGTGAGTGCATGATGATCATTAGGCTGCTTTGATGCCCTTTCTACTGGTACTGGTTGCTACTACACTAGCATCGTGGTGGAAAGTCATAGTTTTCTTCTTTACCAGCTCAGTCAGTCCCTCCCTGCCTGACATGTGAAACTATTCATTTAGCTGTAATTGTGTTTGACAGATGAAGCAGTTTATAGGTGATGATTTTTGAAAATCAAAATGAGGAGCAAGAGGAGGACGCTGGTGGAGAAGGAGAGGTTCTAACTCAGTTATGTCAGGGTGTCGGCAGGGAGATGCCGACTGAGCCAATCACAACGCAGTACTAGTGCTGCAAAATGACCTTCTGTGAATGACAATCAGGATTTGGCCTCCCACAATTCAATCAACATGATCTGCTACAATATTGATGTTTAAAATGCCCTGCTCATTAGACAGTCTGCATACAGCCCATATAGCTAAAATCACTTATCAACTCGGGTAACCCTGACATTAATGCCGTATTTCGCCCTTTTCAAGGTAATTTCTTTTTCGTTCACCTGTCTGCGTCCAACAAGTTTGCTGGAATCTGAGGCGTTAAGGGAACTTCTGTAAATTTTAATGTCTATCAATGTGCAGATATTAAGCAAGTGAGAAATTTAGCCTGTGCCAGATTTTTAGCAGTGACATCACAGCTTCAGAGAAAAGACTGGTTCATGACAAGCTGCTGAGGTCAGTGACCTCTTACCAGAGGTCAGATACAAGTTGCATCCATGTATGAAATAAGGCCTTGGGGTGAAATGTTCAGGCTCGAGTCATAAAATGCCGATTTGGTCTGCATCACCCTTCTGCTGAATGGGTGAATCAGGCAGTTTTTGACAAGTAGACCCAGAATATTTGATCAGAATATTTTAAACATCACAAAATGCATTTGTTGAGAATTACGTTTATTTATGTTTTCTGCATGCCTTTAGACCAAGAAAAACCTTAATGTATGGTCAGTTGTACAACGTCGGTAACACTGTTCATTTGGTCCCGTGCTAGGTTGACTTTCAAGATGTGCCATTTGTACTGGAACTGGCCAGGCACCATTCGTGTTCCAGCACCATGCAAGTACGCCCACAAACTGGCCTTCCTGTCTGGCCAGTACCTGCACTCTGAGCCGGCCATCGAGCTGTCAGACAAGCTCTTTTTCCTTTGAGCTGCACCAGTTATGACCACCAGCACTGACTCTGAGTTTGCTTTGTTGCTAAGTTTTCAGTTTAAGCCAATGTTCCAGTATGTGGCTTTATGTTCTCTTATTGTTCAGACCCTTCCAAAATGCATGCAACTTTGTACAACTACAAAAACAATAAAACACCTTTTTTTTTTTTTTTTAAATATATAAATCATTTTATCATACATCTTTGTAAATTCAAAGAGTCTCCATAGACATTCAACAGTAATGCTGTTTTTAAAATGGCTGTTGCAGACCATTGGCACCAAAATCTTGGCATGTAAGATGTTTTCGAAATTCTGCATATAACACATTTCTGTTTTGGCTTTGAAGAGGCCATCTTGTCACCCTCTGCATAAATTTTTTTTTTTTTTTTAAATGTAAAAAGCCATAGCATGGGCCATGGGGTACACACTAATCACTAGTGCTTACAGTAAAACAAACAAAGTTTCCCACATCTTAAAGTTTTCATTGATTTCATATCACACAAAAGCTATTTGCAGAGTTCTACAGTAGTTGTAGTATGGCAGCTTCATCAGGCAGGTTCAGCTGTGAGATTCTTCTATAAGCTGTGTGATTAATGACTTGTTAATGGAGGAAAGAGCTGTAACACTACTGCCAACCTTTTGCCAGTGTTCCATCCAAATGTATGTTTCCTGTTCAGACTGAAATGTAAACTGCACATTTTCTAGTTCTGCTTCGTGGCTCACTGTGAAGGTGACAATCTGAAAACTGTTTAGTGATGAAAGATTGGTTTGGCCTTTCACAAGCTGAGTGCAGGCTGTGACATTAACAGTTAACTAAAAACACTGCACTGCTTTCTCAAAACTGTAAACACAAAATCCAACTTCAAACAACATCCAGAAAACCTGTTTTTAGATAACACACAGCATCCAAAACAACAGCACAAATATCAAAGTGTTTATATTGCAGTGTATGCACGTTTTTTTGTTGTTTTTTTAAAAATCCCAACTTAGTAACAGTTTAGTTATTTAATACTCGAAGTCCTGCAAGCAAAACAGTATTGAATGTCTCTGTATTCACTACCTGTGTGGTGTAAATACACAGCCCTGCCAAAGGACAAAATGTGAAGACATTATGTACACTGTAAATGCAAAAAAGTCAAGTCTTTGTGCTGAGTCAGACCAGAGAACTTTGTGTGCATCACAGGCAACGTTCTGTGATGTAATGTGATGTGGAGGATCCGGCCATGGTAAGTCAATGGCCTATAGGGGATTAAAAGGAGTAAAACTCTTGTCAGGTCAAGGAAAGGGGAGTTTAGAGAAAGGTAAACATTAATGAATCACTGATTGATGCTTGAACCACTTGTGTGTCAGGAAACTGCAGTGACTACTGACAGTGTCCAAACCAAACAGGATGTGCTGCCCACTCATGATCCTGCTGCTCAAACCAGATATCCCCAAGACCAGAATGTAAGAAGATGTTCTTTGTTCTATATATATGTTTTGAGTGATCTGGTGTAAAACCTGTGGTTCCCATCGTGTACCACATTGCAAAACATGTTTTCCTCAGTGAGAATATATTTAGAAGTAAATGAAATCTGCAAATTGTGTCCAACAAGATGAAAATAGTTTTTCCAGAAGAGTGATTTGATGAATGGGTCAGTTAGGTTCAGAGACTGAGGTTTATGTTTCAGTAATTCAGAAAAACGTCACAATCACACAGCCAGTTTAGACCAGTACACTCCTGACATCTTGTGGCTGGAAAGAGATATTGGTTAGTCGCATACAAAGAAAATGATCTTGTCAGATTGACATGTGGAGTGAAGGAAAAACTAATTTAGGTAAAAGGTAGCCATTATAAGGCATTTTGTACTGTTCTGAAGTGATTCTAATTTTATATTTTTCATTAAGTACATTTGTAAAACAATCTCTCTTTGGGGAATAATTTGTTGAAAAATTGTTTTTATGTTTCATTGAGTGCGTAGGGAGTTTAGAATGGTGAAGGTGAGAAGGAATAGCAAAGTGTGTGTGGGTCTGATGGATGTGGTGTTGATGAAAACATTAAACCATCCAAGTTGTTGGCTGCACTGGTGAACTACTTGACTAACACAACTAAGTCAACTAGTATTGTTGGTTCTAAATGTGGTTTGCACCGTTGAGTTTAATAAGCTATCAGTAACTCTGGCATCCAGTTTCTGGTGACAAGTTCCAGCTAACTTTAATATACATAAGAAATTACTGGGGGGGAGAGAAGCAGGAAAATCCGTTCTTTCTTTGACACCCTGTTTGATATTGTGAAGGATCAAACTGGTAATGTTATGAGGGATATTCGACATTTTGATCTAAACTTAACTATGTAGGGAAGACCGAGGTAAGATGAGCCATAGCTACATTCCTCCAAGAGAAAGGAGGACACTGGTGCCTCCTATGCCTGGCCCCTGACCTGCTTTACTTGCCATGTGATTTACAGCTTTCTTTTCTGAAGCAGCAGTATTATAAAATTCGTCATTCAGGTAAATGGTTATGTCATACATTCACTGCTGATAGCTTAATATTTCTATTAATGGTATCAGGTCATGTAATCATAAGGCTATATCCATCCATCCATTATCTATACACCGCTTAATCCTCACTAGGGTCGCGGGGGGACTGGAGCCTAAGGCTATATCCAAACAGTATTTAAAATGTCTGCTTCTGAAAAAGAGGTCATGAAAGGTTGTGTTTAGACACTGAACCTCCACAGGGCAAGATGAGCATCTGTAGATGGAGTATGTTGAATTATGTCTCGACCATTCTGATTGGTCTTTGCAATAAAAAAAAAATAGCGTAGCTAGTCACTCTAGTCTTTACATAACCTTCTGGCCTTTCAGTAACCTTTTGCAGGGGTCGGCAACCTTCAATACTCAAAGAGCCATTTGGACCTGTTTCCCACAGAAAAGAAAACACTGGGAGCCACGAAACCCTTTTGACATCTAAAATAAAGATAACACAGATACCATAAATTGTTTTTACTTTTAATGGTATGTATAAAAAAACTGTTGCATTTATAAAATGTATGAACTACTACAGAGAAAACAAAATTTTATTTGTACATACAAGTAGATAATGGATGGATGGATAGTCTTGGTGAATGTCAACTTCTGACTTTAAAAAACATTTTTAAAAAATTCTCTCATTATTCTGGCATTTAGCAAATATAAATAATTTTGGTAATCCAAACTGACCTAAAGGCCCAGAGAAACTATCAGAGCAGACGCAGAGGAGGATATATGAACACTCCTCACCGCGCTGCTCCTGACGCTGTGCCATCAAACCTGGCAGGGATGCAGCAGTCCCTGAACGCGGCAATCCAACATGTGGAAGAGCTCCTCAAGGAGAAGCGACGCTTCCTCCAGCAGGTCCAGAGTGCCGACCACAGAATCGGCCAGTTGGAGGCACTTCTGGACAAAAGCCAACGCAAGTGCAAGGAGCTGGAGGAAGCACAACGGCAGACCATCGCCAAGAGTCTCCACAATGAGGAAGCATCTTCCAGCAGCCAGTCCATGATGTGGGGAGACATCATGGACACCAGGGACGAGCTGATAGAGCAGCAGCTCAGAGAGAAGGATCAGGAGATCCTGAGACTCTCTGAGCTGCTCCAAAGAGATGGATCACTCCAGAGAGGCAACAAACGACTCCAGGAGGAGAACCACAAGCTGTGGGAGGAGAATCACGAACTCCAACAGAAAGTGAAGATGGAGGTCAAGGCTGCAGCAAGAAACAAGTTGCTGGAGGAAGAAAACAAAACACTCCATTAACAGAAGGATGGACTGGAGCAGCAAAGACAGAGGCTGATGATGACAAGTAAAGAGCTGCTGGAGGACAACCAGAGACTGGCGCTCAATGAGACGATTATGGAGAACAGGTGGAAATGCCTAAAGGTGGAGAAGGAGCAGCTGGACCGCCAGAA